TGGACAGTTACCTTCAGAGTGATACCTTCATTTGTTTCTGCCAGTTTCTTTTACATCCTCAACTTGCTGGTTTATTTTAGCAACATATAAGTTAAAAACTCATTTAAACTAGAATTTTTTTATGCTTTGTGCTTGGACATGAACAACTAATTATGAGAACAGAAAAATCAGCAACTGAAAAAGAGATTAAAGAACAGTTTTATAATCTTAGTTTTTTTTTATTGTAGTTCAAACTCTTGTTCGTCTTTTTCTTTTGCCTCTTCTAATTTACCAACAATGACAGACCTTCTATTTACAAGTCTCCAGAGGAAGATTGAAGAAGGAGAGTACACTTCAAGTCACCAACATGCTGCGTCAACAAGTGTAGTAGAAAATGAATTGGTAAGTCATTTGTGAGACATCTTGTACATTGAAACTGTCTCTGAACAACAGCTTCTAAATTGGTTTTAGTTTGGTTTTCACGCTATATTTCACCTTTGAGTGATTTGAGACTAATACTTAATTTTCAAGTACAGTAGTTAGATCCTGATATAGGATAATCTTTTCACACTTATTTTGTTTACACTCTTCTGTGATACTTCCTCTTCATACTTTATCTGTCAGAACAGCAGTTTTACACTGTACAGCTTGCTTGGTTGCGCAAAATTATTTTTCAAAAGAGGAACAATTTACTTTTAAAAATTTAAAGGCAAAAATTAATATGATCTATCATAGCGCTCTTATGAAATTCTGTCTTCAAATCACAACTTTTATGCCTGTCTAAGCTAAGCTTCAATACAATACATCTAAATAGTGCTTATTACATAATTCTTCAGCACCGCTAAATGTAGGAAAACGTCAAACTAAGTTATGTAACCCCTTTATAAATTTTTGAGCTTTATCTAAACATCTGATACCGTTCTCTAACTTGTCGAACCTTCTCGACTTTTATCTTTTCTTACAAAGGTCTTTCACCTCATACAAATTTCCCACCCTGAGGAAAAAATCCATGGTCAAAATACAATATTTTGATTTTTTAATTACCAATTAGCAAAGTTGACGCTATTAAGAGTTATTGTTCTAGAAAACCTCTATTCGAGACTTTCTACCGACAAAAGAATTCTCAAAAACGTGTTTACTAGAACTTTACACAAAATTTCAATAAAAGTAGTGAGAATTACTGCTGAAAAAATAACTCAGGTTTACCATAATTTCTAATTAGTTTCGCTATCTTTCTGCTACCATCTTCTTGAATTTAGCAAGACATTTTTTTATAAAGTACAAATTAACTATTTAAAGGAGACGTATTTTTGCTTCTTTTCAGTGGATTAAGTTGTATATTTTCTGCTGAAAAATTTTTTTCCGCTGCCCGAATACTAATGCGCATTTTTTTAATGCTACATCAATCATTAATTATCAACCATTTTTTAATAAATTAAATGTATCAAGTGTGTGATAACACTATATTACAGCTTGAAAAAATGCTTAATTTTGAAAAAACTTTAAGTTATTGTACGTGTAAATATTTTACAAAAAAAACCGGCTATTTCTTACTATTGAATTTTCCTGTTATACGTAGTTTGTCGTTGCACAGATCAAACCTTGACAGAGACAAACTAAATACAGGATGAGAAACTAACAATGACAGTAAATGCCTTTCAAGAATTTCCAAATCTTTGAAATTAGGACAGTTGTCTAAAGTCTCTACAGAAAAAAAATCAGCTCCTACTCGAGCAGACGACGAACACCACCGGGCAGAAAAACTTCAAAAAAAGCAAGTTTTTATGTCGAATAACGTTACTTTTTCAATCATTGGTGCTCAAATTTCCCTCCTTCAAGAGGACGGACCAAGGAGAGATGAAAGAGATGAAACCAAATTTTCTGATCGCTCCCACTTGTCTCTTCCTTCATTTAAGAAAGAGGCTTGAGGAAGTAAGGTCCTAATATCTGCTTGCATAAACTAAAAAGAAGATGAAAAATAAATATTTTTCATTTCAAAGCTAGAATAAAGGCATGTAACAGTATCGTCGAAGAAAATTTGGCTAAACTTTAGATGCTTGATAAATGATTAGTAACTTCAGAGTTCTGGACCGAAATTTATTAATTAGTCATACTTTTTCCTTAATCAGAAAACACGTAAACTGACGCCACTTTGCATCTTTGACTTCTGCATTAACTGCCTTTTTTTGTACGAAATGAGAGATTCCAAATAAATTAAAGTTGTACATCATGAACATAAACTTTTACACAAGCGACCAATCTCAGGTTTCAGATAGAAGTTAACTTTCTGTAAAACTGATGTATTATTTTACCATTTTTAACTAGTGAATCTTTGAGTAAAAAAAGCAAAAAATTTCTACCTGTATTTTTTCAATAGCATTTAGAAGGCAATACAAACAAGTCATTTACCCTGTCTTCTTTAAGATCAACTTTTGTATAAGTTGATGATAATTGTTTTTGAGAAGGTTAAGGGCACCACGTTGTAATGAAGTAGATTACTCTGCTTGTTTTCTGTCGCCTTTGCAGTTTATGGGTTTCCTTTTGCTCTTCAAGAAAAAGTTTTTGCGACAAACCGTTGTTCTTTTTACTTTTTCTTAATAAAAAGTCTTCATTGTCTTCTCGCTTTCCAAGAGATCATCGCAAAAGATCATTTTTGCTTAAGGCCCGATCGTGTAAACGACCAACCTGGCCCTTTCATGATTCGAACTTGGAGGAGCGCTGACCAGGCTTTACAGCTTTTCCAGCTAGTTATACTTTCACGCTCATTAAACCACTGGTAGATTTGGCCGCCTACATATCAGAAGAATGTCGAATTAATCTCTAACCGTTATTAGTTTCTCAAAGGAACAGCAGGTAATATCTGCGCGTTTAAGTAGACAAGTAATGTCCTGATTAGATCTACCTTATTCAGCTCAGCAGAGGGAAGGGGCTATCAGTCTTGAAAAAATTGGAAAAAGTTAAAAAGGAGCGGAAAGAAAATCATTCAAAACTTAACTTTATTGTTTTTTAATAGCTTTTGTTTCATTTACTTATTTATGCTGAAAATTACTGAAATAAAACACAGAGTGAATTAATGAGAAAAAACATAAGCAGCTGGACAGGATACTAAAAAAAGAAAACAGGTAATGAATTTTGCCAAATATTCTAGTGAAAAGCGCGTTTCAATCAGTTATCCAACTTTGAGAACAACAAGGAACAATTACGGCTTCCAAAAATAAAATCACTGTTTTTTATTGTTTAATTTCAACCTAAGCCTAATTACCGGTTTTTTTTGTTTAATTAAGAAAACTAGAGTCACTTTTCTTGATACTTACAGGTTCACTTTTTTGTTCTGGTGTTTGTCTTGCTTTTTCTTTCTACAATTTTTCTTTTTTAGCTTCAATATTCAGATCGCTCGCCCCCCACTCTCCTTCTATGGTTAATGTATTTCTAACTGAGTTTATTTTTATCATTTTGTTGTTGTTGTTGCCAAAAAAATAATTCAAAAAATTTATGTGAATAAAAACAGTGATTCCAGTTATTGTGCGAATTATGCTAAGTAATGGAACAAAAATCTATCTATAACAGTTTATCTGTTTTTTTTTCTCACCTCTCTCCCCCTTCCTCCTGTTGCCACAGAAGGTTGCGACGACGTGATTAGGCTCGTTTAAGGAGACGCCAGGTGACAGCTGCCACGTGAACAGATCGTTTGTCTACTAACTGTAAAGTTAATTGTGTGCTTCTAATTCAGTGTTAAAAGAGGGGCCTGCGGCCTGAACCGACGACTTAATTCTTAGCTCTTATTATTGTTTCTCTGATTGTTTCTTGTTGCAGTTATTACGGATAAGTTATTTAATTATTACCAACGCGTAGTAGTGATATGCTTCTTAAGATGAAGGTTTAATTACCCTAATTTAAGGTTTCAAAAACCACTGAATGATCGAGCTGTTAGAAAGAAAGGACCATTTGTTTTGACACACACCCCTCCTCAATTGTGCATTTCTTTGTGATTTTTATGGCAGTTACAAAAAGATTTTAGTAAACCAGGAAAAACATAGAATTAACAAAATAACCGAGAGGTAAAAATTATGTGCGGAGGCAGAATAAATATCACAAAACTAAAAAAGGGAAATGAACAAGTTACATTGATTATATAGAAATATATAGTTTTATAAGACATGAGAAGCGAAGAAAAACTATTGAAAAAAGTGAAAAAAATTTGAGAAGTGTAAATGAAAAGGAATTTCTGCATGATATTGGATTTTGAACAAATATTGTATTTGAAGTGATGCTAAAGTGTAGAAGGAACTTTTTGTTCTTTACCATCTAAAATTTCGAAATAGGAAAACAAGAAAATTGATATGAAACAGAAGAATTTGTAACTTTATAAATTTTTTTTGCATAGTTATTGCTGAACAGTTACATCAATGGTGACAGTTATATATATATATATATATA